GTTTTCTTACATCTGGAGAACAATATTTAAAGACCAGGATGTCTCTGCAGCACTACAGTACTTCATTATAATGCTGTTCTGTCTCGCTTTACCTTCATCAACCAACTGTAGCTCTTGTGAATTACACATTGCACTTGGCCATACAGTGATTTGGATAACATTTCGATTAATTGTGCAGCCCTCTAGTTTCCTCATTATGTTGATAAAAGTGGGTGGGCAAACTCTCTCAGGAGAAACTCACCGTCTGTAACTCTGATGTCAAACTCCCAGTGTGTATCAGGTAAGAAACGTCTTTCCAAACCACACCTGTACCGTCCGGCGTCAGACTTGGTCAGCTGTGCGATGCTCACATACAGAACCGTAGAAGACAGCGGAAAAGTTCCCTCTTCATACAGAATGCTGTATCTGCCACTCTGAGCACTGTCGCCTGCCGTTTCAACCAGAATGTTTTCCTTATTACACTCGTCCTTACAGAGGAACTTTCTTCTTCCAAACACACTAAAGTGGCAGGCAACTATAATCTTTTCTCCTTCAGTGTGAGTGAATGTTTCTGCATCGACCAGCCCGCTGTTCCCACCACACAATGCTGCTGAGAAGAAGGAAAATAGCGAATACGAATGATCAGGATGTTATGGATTGCAGATTTACTTTAAAAGAGACGGCAAGTTAATGACAGTTAATCCATCACAAACAGAGAAACAGATATGAGACAGAGGCAGCCATTAGCGAGTTTAAAGGGGAACTAAACCCCCAAATTCTGCTCGCCCCCTCCCAGCTTGCACATTTAAAACAAAAATGCAGCGGAGGACGACACAGGATAGTCCTATAGGCTTCAAGTTTCTATATCATACTTAATGATGTCACAAATTATGCTCGTAGGCCTCGCCTCTTAAAAAAACAGGTTTTCATTGAGCTCAGATAAACCTTCCACTCTCAGCAGATGAATGTGAAAACATCCTTCTAGTGTCAAACTCTTCACAGTGAAGACCAAACATCCAACAGGGTTCCCACACTTTTTTTAAGAAATCATTTTCCAGGACATTTTCCAGGCACTTGCTCACAAACGTTCTTATAATTTACTGGTAGGCATCGTAGGGGGTCAGAGTTTATGGGGCACTCAGCGTAGCAGTCTCAGACGATATTCCTCTAGTTCAAATCAAGTTGAATTTATTTTAAACCACAACAACAAATGTGATCTTTAATAGGCCGTCTGCATGTAGATATTACTGTCTACAGGATGTCCATTCCCGTCTGGTATTACTGGTTTTACATATGCGATCTGAGTGAGGGGCTAAAATAAAGATTTCCCGGACAACATCGATTATTTCCAGCGTTTGAGTACAGAGCTGCGGAGGAGGGACAGGAACACAAAGAGGGAATTTCCTAGTACCTTTGGTATAAATAAAATTTAACTGTCAACTTCAGATAACTTTGGAACTGTGAATTTTACTGGCCGGTATAAACAGGAGGAATGACTACAGCAAGAAAACTTGTTGCAATGTTAATATGAACACCTGACTACTGTTTTAATACAGAATTGCAAAAATGTGAACCTATCCTTTAATAAATGTTCCTACTGTAACACATCACGATGAACAATAAGTCATTTTTTGACAGATTACATTAGATCGTGGAGACACTGCAGCAGCGACGTGTTATATAAGATAAACATCCACAACCAACACTTCCAACATTTGTACAGTACGGAGAAACATACTCAAACTTCCTCACCTGATAAGAAGCAGAAGAACAGAACATGGTTGATATTCATTCTGAATTTAATCCAGATGAAGAAAAATCTGCCTGTATCCCGTCAATCCTTCCAGCCTCCGTCTGTCTAATCAATCAGGAAGCTGGTTAATGTGATTTCCCCCTTCCCCTCTGTGGTTTAAACGCTTATCGCTTCATCTACACCTACAGGATGACGACGATGACGATGGTAATGTGGCACACTCTTATTTCTATTCATTATTATTATTGCTTTAATCTTATATTATTGTTAGATATTTGCTTCCGTTTTATTTTATTTGTTTGTGTTTGTTTTAATCCTGCCTCAACCATTTAAAGTACTTTAAAGTTTGTGTAATATAAAAATGTATTCAGCCTTGTCAGTTTAGATTTGGAGGAGAGGAATCAGACATTTTTGTCTCTCGCTGTATCTAAATTATGATCTGTTTAACACACAAATATCACCCCCACTGTAGCTACAACTCTCTTCCAATATATCTCACATATATTAACAGCAGTCAGCAGCATTTTACAGGCTGTTACGACAAACTCCGTGATCTAAAAAGAGATCAAACAGACATCAGGTGTGTCTGTCACAGGACTCACTTCCTTATTGTGGCGCTGCAACAGAAAGATGTGGACAGGATAGAGAAACTTTATTTATACACCAAAACTATGAGAACTGGGCCTGCTGTGACCAAACTGCTAAAAGTGACATTTATTATAAAGTAAAAGTCATTTATCCACTTTTATTAATACTCACAAAGAGTTCCTATAACTCACCATTCTGCTTATAACAGATACTTTATTACTTTAACTACATTTTACTTACTTACATTTACTTTACATTTTACTTACTTACTTTACATTGTATATTACTCGTGACTCTTGACTCCACGTGTGTTTTTGATACTAAGTCCCAATAAAACTTATAGTGTGTTTATTCCCTTCCGTGTGTTTCCAGTCTGTATCCGGTCTCTGGGTGTGGCACATGGTCTCAATCAGCTCACCTTCCTCTCATCATCCCAGCAACCGGCAGTGTAACTACCCTCTGCAACCGCTCATCCACACCCTGAGTGGGGGGCTACGCTTCGGCCAAACTTTGCTCTTTTGTTCGTTTTTTGATTCCTCGTCTTTGCCTTTTAGACCAACCTCCTGTGCTTCAGGATCACCGCCTGCCTCCCGCTTCCCCTCTTACCTCTGCTGCACTTCACCCATAAAGCTTCATCCTGCACGTCTAATACGAAATACTATCTAGACCCTGTTTTTTTTTTTTTTAGCCCATATTAGTTTAAATTATGATCAATCTGTGTCATGACACAAAATATACACCATAAAAAAACTTTTTTGAAAACTTTGCTTAGATTTAAGAAAATATACACTACAAAAAATGTTACTTCAGTTGTTTGTGTGTGTTCAGATTTGACTGAAGAATGAAAACATGCTGATATCTGAATACTGTTATCGATTACTTCTCCAGTGAATTGTACACGCTGCGATCAATGCTGCACGGATCAAGTTCTTGGTAGACTGGTTCTTCGTGTGTGGACACTGCAGAACAGTCGTCATAGATGGGAATCTGAAAAACAAACAGTGTTTTTTACCGAAAGTGACAAGCAATGATACTTGAAATGCACTGGTAGCCATGGTAACAGCTCAGAGTCACCTCCATGTTCCTCTCAGTTCCCCTGGTGTTCACATCTGTGCAACATAAAGCACAAAAAGAGGTGTTTTCCTTGTTTGTAGTTCTATTTGTAATGATTTTAAGCACAGATAAAGGCAGAAAGGCAACTCACAGTCAACATTTCTTGTCTTCCGTTTGTAGAGGAGTAGTACACAAACGACCAACAGCACAATAACCACAATCGAATAAACAACCGGACGCAACCCGACACCTATTTGAGAGACGATTGAGAGATTACAATAACTGAACAAACAATGACAGATCACAGCTGGAGAGGGATTCATTTTCTCAGGTGGCTTTAACACTGAACCTGTTTGGTTAGAACAAACTCTTCACACCTCCAAAGACACGCAGGAACATTTTCATCAGCTCACCTCCTGTAACTGTGATCTCAAACTTCTGGCATTCATTTACGCCCAGTCTTCCCACGCCGCACTGGTACCACCCTGAGTCAGACTTGGTCAGCTGTGTGATGGTCACTTTAAACATATTGCTTCCGTATACAATGATGTATCTGTCACTCATAGCTTCCACGTCATTGGTGTCAATGAGAAAAGTGTTACATTCCTCTGTACAGAAGAACTTCCTGTTTAGCTGTTGTGAAAACAAGTGGCACGTGATTGTGATGTTTCCTCCTTCAGTCGCGCTGTGGACTCTGGACTCGCCAAAGATAACTCTATCACATATTTCTGGTAGGAAAGATGAAGAGTGAAAACTAAATTATTAACTGATTAATCAGGAATGGAAGTATATAAGAGTAACAAGGAAGGAAGATGTGAATTTTGTTATTATTATTCATTTAAAGTTCAACTGTCTTTCACTCGCTTTAATGTTCATGGTTTCCATTTTGTGATTTGATTTTCAGTGTTTAAAAACGTCTTTATTAACATCATAACCGAGCTGCCACTACACTGAGGAATCTGAAATATTTAGAAAAAATAATTAAATTAACATATAAACCTATTAAAATACTACAATTCCAATTAAAATACTTAAATTAAACTTTAATTTAAAACAAGTTTATCCTTTGATTATCAGCCAGCTACACAGTCACATTCATGCATGTAGCCCGCGCATACACCCATGATTAGTTCCGTGTTAAAATGTGGCGGTGAGACAGTGAGCGGAGGGAAAATGAATGGTTCAAAAACACTGCAATCGTGGCTCCAAACAGGAACTTTATGATATGAAACAATTAGAAATATATTATATATGGTCTGTGATCTCACGCCATGTAGGCGGATTCGGCTCTGCTCTGCTGCTGACGTACAAAAACCAGCAGCCCTCTGCAGCTCTTTGGAAACAGGAAGTTTTTCTCTTGCTGCTAAAAAAGGGCAAAAGGGCAAAAGGGTAAAAGGAAAACTGTGTTGGTTCCTCTCTGTGGAAGAAATTAGTCACTTATAGGCACTGATGTGTGTTGTTGAAAATAAACTTCCATGGAAGTATATGATTAGCTCCTCAGCAGCTGTACTGAGGTCAGTGACTTAAAGGTCCAGTGCAGAAAGGGAATATAATATTCATGTGTTTGTTACCTTAGAATGAGACGTTTTTATCTACAGAGGGAGCGGGCCTTCTTGTATGGACGCAGCCATATTGAACCACCATTTTTCTACAGTAGCCCAGAGTTTTTTGTGACCACTGTAGTTTCTCATACACACTTTACAGCCTGGTTCTAACTCCCAGGTCATCAAACACATTGACCAGCGGTGTTCAGCCACCACCAAATGCAACTAAATCCTACACACTGGTCCTTTAAGAACATAACTTAAGAACACATCATAATTTATAAAGTTATCATATGTTTTTCTGTAGCCTTCAAATCTTCAAAAATATTTGAGGGTTGAATAACAGACAACCAAACTGTGACTAGAGAAGAAATTTTGTATTTTTCTGCTCCTGAAAATGTTGCCTCATCTGTCTGAAGTTGTGTTTTTATCAACTCTGAGTATCTCTTTAATTTTCATTATTTTATGCATTTTAGCAGCACTCTTCGTACAAAATGTTCACCATTAACCAGACTTATAATTTAATATCAAAATTCACATGACAATGTCTGTGTTGATCACCAGTTTTAGAAACTGAAAAATAAAAATAAAAATAAACATTATTGTATAAAATGTTGGGATTGTGTGCCATACTCACAGTCAATCATCAACTTACCTTTAACTTTAATCTCGAACCTGTATGGACCGAGTGATGACCCATTCACACCGACTGTGTACCACCCCGCGTCAGACTGGGTCAGCTCCAAGATGACCACCACCACTTTATTCTCAACCCTGTCGTATCTAATGGTGTATCTGCCACTCATAGCTCTGTTCCCATTTGTTTCCACGACAATGTCTTCCTTTTTGCAGTCGTTCCTACACAGGTACATCCTGCTTCCTGTCGGTGCCTGAAAGGCGAATGGATTTCTGAAATCTTCGCCTTTCATTTTTATAAAAGGTTGGGATTGATCGAGTCCAGCGCTTCCATCAAATAGTGCTGCTGAAACAAAGAACAAGAACAGTTCAGACCCTGATAGATTTCAGACTTAGTGAAGGCAGTGGTAGTTTCCGGTTGAACTATCAGGAACCTCCAGGTTTATTAGCAGTATTATATCCAACAATGCACAGTGTGGATTATTCTTCAGCTGCAAAAACTGCATAATTGCATTTTTGTATTTGAAAAAGAAGTTCATAGCCTGTAGATTATGAACTCTTGAGGGTAAGAAATGATAAGATGTATCTCTGTTCTAACCAAATCTAACCGACATTACAACAACAAACAACAAACAACAGCTCTGACTCTGCAAATGTTCATTTATTTAAGTTAATTAAAACACACACTTTAACATAAAGCCTATCAACCGTTTCGCATTAAAAGTCCATAATTCATCAGCTGTAACTTAATGATTCTGATAATTCATAATAATATATATTTCACATTATCGGCCGATAATAAATCTGTCCTGATAATTATATATATATATATTATTTTTTGACTATTGATGTCAGACCAATGCCCAACCCTGATGCAGCAACCACCAACACCAACACACCAACCACCAAAAGAAGTGCATTAAAGAAAAAGCCAGTCTGACCTGATGAGAAGCAGAAGAACAGGAAATGATGGATGTTCATTTTCATTTGAAAAAAAAAAATCATTAATCTCCAGGAGAACTGCTACTACCGACTTTCTCCGTCCGTCTTAAGTTTAAAGTTCCTCAATAAACGACTTTCAAACATGTCCCCTCCCCTCTTGCTCCCCCTCATTCTTAGAACTGAGCTCTTACTCAACATCTCAATTTCGTAAGCATTTTTTAAAAAAACCCTCTGTTGCTTCCTCTCAACAGTTAACAGTCAACAGTGTAAATAGTGACTGACCTAATGCTGTACCTGTACCTGGAACAAAAACTAATATCACAGTTCTTTAAATTATCCTTTCCCCTGACATCCTCAAACTTCTCTCCCAGACTGATATCCCATACATTCAACATCCTGTTTCAGAAACACATCAGATCAAAAAACGGTGATACTAAAAGTTAACCAAAACATATTTTAGCTCTAGCACCATCTCTGTTCTCCATCTGAGCCTCACTTTTCACCCTGTTTTTTAACGTAAAGGAAACGTGGAACGAAGAAGGGAAACAGGAAGTGGTTGATCTTTTTTAGGTACAGTATAGGGGGCAATTCTGCAAAAAAAAAAAAAGAACTGTCTGTTTCCTCTTTTCAGCAGCAAATTGTGACTTTTTAAATTTAAAGAAACTGCAGTGTGTTTGGCACCAGTTGCTGTCAGTCTCAGTCCCGTAGTGAGTAACTGGTTTTTACTCAGTGGCCTGGCACCCAGGTTGACCTTCATGGTTCCCGGGTAACTTGGGTGATCCTCTGTGCAGCACCACAGGGTTGGGATTTGTGATTTTGAGTGAAATGTTAAATAAATGAATGATAATGATTTGGTATACACACGTCCCTCCTCAGGATGAACTGGAGTATTGCACTTTGGTGATTGTTTGACTTCTCATCAAGCACTCTCCTCTAAGGTCACAATGTCAGTTTTTGTCAAATACCACAGTGACCCTGAGAGCTCACTGACACTTCATATAAAATACATGCAAACAATCTTCAACAATTTGACAATGTGAGCTCTCAGGGCCGCCGTACAATCAGGGGCATTTCCAGACTTCTCTGATTTGGGTGGCACAAGAGCAGCACCAACTTATGTCCCAATTCGCAATGTATGCAATTCCAACACTGTTTATGGACCCCAGTTGCATGTGGTATAATAATATACAAAAGAACAGCATGGGAGTAGTAGAAACTGTTTGCAAAAGGGAGACTTGTTGATACCCATAAAACCCATTTTCATTCAGATATGTCGACTTCAGAGGTCAGGGAATCCCTTTAAAAATGCCTTGAAAATGTTTTTCCATCGCCAATATTTCGCCCAATTTTACAACATTATTTTGCCTCCTCCCCGATATGCTAGCATGACATGGTTGGTACCTTGGTTAAAGTATCTTCAGTAGATTTTAAATGTATCCCCCTACGGCCTCTGCTTTTGAAATCTGCCCCCTCCAGCTTGTCATCTGTGGCGATATAAGCTCTAGGAAACTAACAACCAACAGTTTTTGCTATTTTCTGATATTTTTAACAGAAAAAGATAAATCGAGAAAATAATGAGATTTTACTTTGCTTATATTTGTAAAGGAACTTTGTCCCACTTGTTATCGTTCAGCATAAAGTAAATCAGATGAAGGAAGAACCAAACACACAGCTTTATATAAAAAAGTGTCCATTCAGCAACTATACACGTCCTGTGGAAGTGTAGAGTAGATCTGGTCCTTATCCCTGCTGGCAAAGTCGAGACTCTGGTAGGTGGAGTCTTCACATCGGGAGAAGGGACCCAAGTTTTCATAGGTGGCAAACTAATGAAAAAAACAAAACCTTTATCAATATGACAATATACATACAAAACAGATGATAAAGGGATAAAGGGATTCTGATACAGAATTTCTGTGGCGATACGATATTAATATTTAGGTTTTAAAATAACTGACCACACATTTTTTTTCTTTTTATAACACATAACAGAAACAAGCATTTTTAAAGAGGATCCAATAAATGTATTGTTTTTTTCATGAATTGTGAGCAAGGTGAGACATTTTACAGTTGGAAAAATAAAAATAAACTCACCTCCATGTTTTTGCTGTCTGTTTCCTCATTGTTCAAACCTGAGGAACAGAGACGACAACCAAAATCAGACTAAAGTCAAGAAAGAAATTCAACACTCAGCAATAATTTGGTTGTGTGTGTATTATAATGGAGTGCAGACAAGGTTGAAAAGTCACCATCAGTTTCCTTCTTGGACCTCCATTTGTAAAGAATCTGTAGTAGAAAAACAGCCAACTGCGCAACGCAAACCAGTGTCACACATACGACGACAACCAGGGAGTAATCTGAATGAGAGACATAAGAGCAGAGTGGGGAAGAAGAGAGAGAGAAGTTGTGTTAAAGGGTTAAAAAGACCTATGCAATGCAGAGAAGTCTGAATAATGCTTTGTAGATTGTCCATTTAACATCATGACATCCTCTGAATGTCAAATTAATCTTTTTAGAACAGAAATTGTTTTTTAAAATGAATGTGTATATCAGAATATATCAGAATAAATAGAGGGACACGTGTAGAGAAGGCAGTGTTGGTATGGATGCAAGTTTCGCTGTTATTTGGGGTTTGACATCAAAGTTACCGCGCAGCAAACTGTGTTTCATAAGGAGATTAAAGAGGCACTTGAGTGTCCGGGTGAATATCTTCTGTGTAGCCCAGTTAAAAAATATGCATAAATAAAGAGTTTGTCTGTGATTTACTGATAAATAAATAAAAAGTATTTTTTAGGGGGCTCTATTGGCAGAAATGAAATATAATATTCATAATGTTTTCATCATGTTACTGGTGACATCCTAATCAGATAAGATCACATTTTTAAGTGGATATACAGTAAATGCCCTGCCCAGAGGCATGTATACGCTGTATCAGTGTATACCCAACACCACCTCTGCAGCTAGCTGATGAGGGATAGCTGGTATCTTAGCCACACTAATGTTACTGATGTTAGCTTCGGTCATTTTGCTCGACTCATTGGTAGATTAGCCCTGCACCTCTGCGCTGTATCTGTACCTGTAGCTGTTGTTTCCTCAGTCGACTGCTGCTCACGCTGCTTTCTGGTTGTAGGAAAAGTGGTAAAAGCTGTGAGAAATGCAGTGAAAATGATGATTTGTTATTTAATGGAAGACAAACAAATTGCATCAACTCTAACTGTAACTATAGTGATTGTGTTTGGCTCAGTTTGTGTAAAAGCTGAACTAGACTGACTCAGTGTTGCCTCGACATCATCGTGCTGTAACAGCGTGACTCTGTGCTGCATCAGGACCATAAAGAGTGAGTCTACAAGAACAACTTTTGATTCTCTAACTAACTGGGATGTGTGCGATTAATTGACCAGTCAGTTGCTAATGTCACTAGTACACCAGAAATACTAGTCTGTTAAACTAATCATCCTATTTTATTAATGTACAACTGAGAAAACCCTCGGTAGTAGCGAGATGTGCTACAACTAACTAACATGAAGTGTGAAATACCTGTAGCGGTACTTCCTGCGCTGTCACTGAGTGGCAGCTGAACTGTAAAAAAAAAAGGAAGTGCAATGGAAATAATGATAATATGCCTTTTTCTGAAGAACTGTGGCAATATTTCACTGTAGTGTAGTAACAAGACATTTTAAGCAAATAGCAAAGCTGACGTTATAGCACCACTGTGCCAGGTACAGCCTCGCAGAGCTGCTGACCTTCAAAGGCCTTTGCACACCAAGTCCACATTTGTCATCCGATTAAAATCGTTACATTTAGAAACTGTGCACGAAGACGGAGTCGTCAGAAATACAAATGATTTTGTGATGTTCACACTTAAAAGTAAAGAGGAAGAAAATATTGGGTCCAAGGTCCAGTACTTCTCTCCACTGGTTCCTCCTCAGGATGTCGCAATAAATGCCTCCGTCTTGCATTTAGCACTGTGGTTACAAGAGGCTGAGCTGTCCTCCCTCGCAGAAAATCGGACTAAAAAAGACTTATTGTTGGAGCGTTTGTGAGAGTTTTTTTGTTCAAATAAAACCTGTATGAGGCTGATAGGTAGCCTTTAAGAAGGTGATTGAAATGGCCTGTGTGAGTTAGATGGTGGAGAGCTACAGTTTCCCGATCCCACAGCGCTTTTCAGGAAATTAATTTAAATCATATATTTGATCCTTTTTCTTCATAGAATATTTATTAGTCACTTCACTTGGTGTGCAAAGGCCTTACAATACAAATGAACTGCTCAATAACTTTGTATAAAGGGATGTAGAGCGCCACAAGGAAAGCCACACTTCAACCGCTTTTCTGACACTACACCCAGCAGGGGAAGATTGCGAGTAACCACAAAATCACAAGCTATGCAGATTTAGGCAGAATATGACTACTATACTATACTACTATATAAAATAAGGAAATGCAGCCACAGCAAAGACTTTTGCTTCCTTTTACTCTTACTTATGTGGGAGTTGGGAAAGTTGCATTCAAATAAGGAACATGCTAAAGACCTCATCTGCATAGTGAGTGTGTTACTGTGTGCTACTGAATCAACCAGAGGGCAAAGTAGAATAGAAATGTTTTCTTTTTTTTAATGTTATATAGACATTATATCACAATTTTAGACAACCTCATAACATTGGTAACGAGTCCTACATCCTAAGAAACAGGTTTCTCTCACTAAGACTGCAAATAAAAATGGCTTTGTAGACACACAATCAACACTTCAAACTTGGCAATTAAATTAAAATAATTTGAAAACTGTTGACACCAGAACTGTACAAAAAATTTAAATAACCAAGCCAGTGTGTGCTGCAGCATTGACATCAAGGTAATCAGCCCTCACCTGGTAAGAAGCAGAAGAACAGAACATGGTGGATATTCATTCTGAATTAGATCCTGATGACGACTGCCTCTGTCGTTTCTCTCTCTCTCTGTCTCTCGGTGTCCGTCTGTGTGATGAATTAAGAAGTAGAATAAAGAAGAAGCTAAAGTTTCTCAATTTATTAAGTGATGCAACTTCCACTTATTCCCCTTTCTCTTTTCGTGTATCTGTGGTTTTAGAATAGAATAGATCTTTATTGTCATTGTCACAGGTACAACAAAATTTAAAGTGCTCTCCGGTCAGTGCTTAATTTAGCATAAACTTAAAAAAGAATTAAAAATAAATAAATAATTAATTTAAGTGCTAGTAAAATAAAATAAAAACATGTAACATAATTAGCAGCATACATAGACACACATAGTCATACACACCCAGTCATAGCTCCCCCTATTACACAATAATGATGATGAGGTTGGATGTGTAATATCAGTTTTACATTTACAGAGTAGGGCCAGTAGGGGTTGCTAAAGCTTCATGGAGGGCCTTTTTTTTAATGGTTTTAAGGGATGTAAGAAAACTTAAAACTTAAAATATACTCAGTAGGCCTATATCTTAGCATGTCATTCATTTATGTGAAGAGAACTGAATGAAATTGTTTTCAAATCAGTATGAATGTACAACAAAAAACAAGCAGGTTTTGTAAAGCATTGACGAGGTCTGTGGTAGCCTTTGACAAGGGTCACTCAAAAGTGGAGAAGTTGAATGTGTAAACAGAGAGAGAGAGCATTACTGTTTCCACACTCAGCTGCATCATTAATAGTTGTGACATTCAAGGACTGTTTGTGAAACAGGTCAGAGAAAGAAGAACAACGTAGAAAGGCTCTGGATGTCAGACACAGTTCTCCTGCAGTTTAAGGATTTCTCTCCATCTGTATCACATTCAGAATGAATATTCATCATGTTCTCTTTTTCTCCTTCTTATCAGGTGAGGACTGATTACACTGATTACTATTCAGTTTCTTCTCTTTATTCGTGCATACATGTATGCATACATTAGAGTTGTTTTATTATTATTATTATT